AGTACTGATGATGATGATGATGATGATGTTATCTTGCAGAATGGACTCTGCTGGGATAATTTTATGATAAAACACTTTTTTCAAATGCCAGTGGGTCCAGGCAGGCATTTACTAGCTACGGGGGCAGCAATCAGTTTCTTCAAAATTTACTGTTCTAAGCCCATTAGAGTTCCAGCGCAGCAAGGCTCTCGATGGAAATCGAAAGCGCCTGCCTTCATCTGAGGATGCTGCATGCAAATCTTCCGAGCTGAACTCCTACCCTTTAGTGTTAGGATGCTTTAGCAACTGATTTATGTAAATTTGCTCATAAAAAAAAAAAAAAACAACACGGTTTATTTTTAATTGGTGAATATGAATTAGAAAATTAAGACGCCAGTTTAGCATTCGCCGAACATCCGAGCATCCTCAGCCCGTAGCCCGGGTGGCACAGGTGAAAAGGAGGGGCTGGAAGCAGCCCCCTTCGCCGAGCAGCGTAGCCAAAAATAAGCACTCGTTGCCTTATTAGAGACGAGCGCATCGCGTGCCTTATTCAGGCATCAGCAGTTAAAAGCATCCCCTTCTTAGGCCTAGCACAAGCCTCTTCGTAAAGAGGACTAATTTTAGCCAAGTGTTGTAATGTGCGAGGGGGTTTTTGTGTGTAAAACATTGGCAGTGGGATCCTGCTTGTATTCCAGCGTGAAGCGCTTGCAGATATTGTCCTATACAATAATACTTAACGACCATTGTCTACTCTGATGATTTACATGTGGTTTTCATTTTGAAAAAAAAAAAAAAAAAGAAAAAGAAAAGGAAGATTATTTTTTTTTAAGCATTCCTGTGTTCCCCTTCACCTAACAAAAAAACCCTTTGACTAAACCATTAAAAAAAAAATGGTGAAATCGTGCTGGTTTTACAGAAAACCTCTCAAAACGAAGTGATGCTGACCTCATGGCATCAGTGCTTCGCGGGGACCACCAGTGCCCTAAAGTACAGTGTTAGCCCCAACACCTCTCCCGCTAAGTCAACCCAATGTAGGTCCTGCCCGCTTGGAAACACATCAAAAATCAAAAGTGACGTTCTCTAGCAGACACGTTCCTGCTTTAAACTGGCGTTAAAACGTCTTTGCATGAGAACAGGCCCCTCGATGCAATCCCTACCCCTTCTCCATCCCCCCTGAATCTGAGCCTGTCGAGGATTACAGTGTGCAACCTCTGCCGACAGCAGATAAATAACTGACAGTATTTTAGCAGAGTTGCTAGGTTCTCCGCAGAGTAATTTGTTTTCTCCTTTCTCACCAAGTCTTTAATGTTTTGTTATAAACATCTATAGCAAGGCAGTGCTAATAGAAATGACTTATGGTCAAAGATCCGGATAAAAGGCTGCGATGGGTTTCTGAGCTGTTTTCTTGCGAGGGCTATGCCAAGGAATTACTCTTCCCTTTGTGCACATGGGCTTTGCTGGAAAGGGAGAGCAAAATTCTGGTGATCAATGGATAAATTCCTAGATTTGATCAGAGCTTCGTGCTGTCCTGCAGGTTTTCATTGCAAGATGATAAAACACCCATTTGGTGAAACATGAGTATATTGAGGTGGCATTGACTGGTGTGGCACAATCTTCCTTTCTTCCCTAAAACTAACTCACCAGTATTTATATATGTCATTATTCCCTCTCAGTGCCTCCCAATGAGGCCACAGACACTTGTCAAAGCCATTTTTGCTGTACTTGGGGTGCACCAGCATGTTCCTTGGCTCTTTCTGCATGGGAGAATGACAGTGGATGTGCAAAGCTGCTGCACCGCCAACCACAGTCACATCATCCAGGGGACACACACGTAATTTTATTAAAATGTTAGAGCCTCTTTTACTTCTCTCTTTCATGGAGAAGACCTACAGTGCTTCTTCTGACTCAAGGCATTCACCCAAACCTTACGGTTTTTCTTTTTGCCCCGTGTGTGCTGTATCATCTCAGCAGCTAAAGACTTGATAAGAGAAAGTTGTCAGAAATCAATTCTTCTTCCCCTAATTGTACGGGCGTGATAAAAGATCACACGGGGAATCAGCGAGAATTTACACACACATGCAAACAAATAGCTGCTATCAATTCACGTGGAAGATCAGATAAGCCCGTTATCTCGTGTGTCGTACATATCAGTATGTGACAAGAATGTGGGGAAGGATATGGGGCAGGAGATAACGGGAGCAGGAGGAACGGTGGTGGAAGTCACGATGAGGAAATTCAGAAGAAGAAAAAAAAAAAAATCTAGATTGCAAAAATTATCTGAAGATTTCTGGTCTAAGGGAAAACGGTGTGTACAGAGATAGCACTGGGCCCAGTTGCCTCTCTTTAGTGTAGAGTGTCACAAAGAGGTGAAGAAATGAGTCCCTGGAAGAAAGGACCTGCTCCCCTTCGCTTAGGAGCAAGTCCTTGGGAAGGGCTTGTCCCAGATAGTGCAGTCAGTGTTGTGCCATCTGTGATGGAGCAGCTCTTCATCAGTGAGCTGAGCACAAGTCCTCTGCAAGCT